CTCCTGGGCTGCTGGGGGGAGCCCAGCTGAGATGGGTCAGGGAGGAGAGATCCCTGCAGAGGGAAGGAGCTGCGTGCCGGCCCCTCCATCCCCAGTACCCTGCTCTTTGTAAGGAGACCAAACTGGGCTTCCCTGACTTTTGGCCCTGACTCTGAGAGGTTTGATGTAGAGTGGGGGCTGGGAGGGCCATGGGGACACTGAGGCGGAGACCCCTGAAAGGTGTGCAGGATGCTGCCTACCCCACCTGCCTTGAGAAGGTGAGCAAGGACGCCATCGGGGCCTTGGGCACAGGTCTCTGCTGCATCTCATGTTTTCTGGAGTTCTTTGCTTTGCTTTGGGCCACGGGGAGTCTGTCCTCTGCCTTCTTCTGCCATCCCTCTGGGTGTACGCCTCCCACTGTGAGAGCCCTGAGTCTCCCAGCTTCCTGGAATCTCCTGGAGCCTCCTGGCTTCTCAGGGAGGAGGGATTGGGGGACTATTGGGGGCTGTGCCTTTTTTGGACTCAGCAGGGATTATTTTTAGGCTGGCAGATGGAGGTGGCGGTGGCTGTCGCTGGTATTATTAGACAACAGGCCTGTGGTTTAGAAGTCTGGTGCCCAGAGGAGGAGGAGGAAGAGGAGGAGGCCCCAATAAGGACTTGTACTAATGAGCGTCGGCGGCAGCTGGGGTTCACTCTGTGTTCCCCCTTCCCACAGCCGCCAGGCAGGGGCTCCGGAGTCTCAGGAAGAATGACGTTCTCCCCAGAGCCAGTCAGAGGCAGGCCCGCCCCGGTAATCCTGGGCTGCAGAGTGTGGACTCTGGAAACGTGTCCAGAGTGTGGGGTAGGGGTGGCTGACCTGTGACTCAGGGCTGGCAGGAAGGGAAGGGGTGGTGGGGGAGAGGCCTTGGTCTCCTGGGCCTGGGGTGGGACAGAGTTGTGTGTTGGAGCTGGGATGAGTAACTGGATGAGCCACTCAGCCTCCCGAGTGCTCACTGGTAAATTGGAGACAACAGTTCTTGTGTTAAAGGGCTGTGGTGGGCGGGGAGATTCAGGATGCAGTCCCAGCACAGGGCCTGCTGCGCAGCAGGTGTTTATAGCACTGAGGTCTCAGCCCTGGCTCCTTAGACCTTCCTTGATACTGAGGTGTGTCCAGTTCTTGGGGTGCTTTCCCTGCCCTGGTTCCTCGCTGGCAGACGAGCTCTAGGATGTGAGTGTTGGACATGGGGCCGTGCCAGGCTCTGGATGCCTCGTGGTTCTGTGCCCACAGGGGGTCCACCGGCAGCCGTGGACTCAGCTGCCCACTGGGTACCACCTGGCCCAGAGAGCAGGAGACTGGTACCCTATGGGTTTGCCAAAAGGTCAGCCAGACCGCAGGGGCCACCTCATCCTCCCCTGCCCTCCTGCTCTCTCTCTGCTGCCAGAACAGCTCCAACGAGGGCTGGGCAGACCCCTAAGAGGCAGATTTGCTAGGCTCAGGGCACCACGATTTCCCACTCTCTCTGTAAAAGGGTGTGTGAGGCCTGCCTGCTCCCTGTGTCACTGGGTAATCCTCTCCTGAGGGAAGAGGCTGCTGTGAAGGGGGTGCTCCACCCTCCCTGCCCCTCCTCGGCCATCCTGCCCACTTCACAAGCGGTGGGCAGCTGCTGCAGCCTGGCCTGCCAGGGACGGCTCCCCTGCCTGCCCCTTCCAGCCTCAGCTCTGTCCCTGTCCTGGTTCTGGGATGCTCTGGTGGTCCGTGTCTGTGTCCCTCGTGTCTCTCTCCCAGGGCTGGGCTCTGCCTGTGCCCACTTGCACTGGGGCCTTCTGCAGCCCCCTCCGGCCCTCCCAGATTGGAGTTGGGCTCCTTCCTGTTTAGGTTTATCTAGTTCTCCTCCACCAAGCCCCTCTTTCCTCTCTCCTGCCAGCCTGATTGTTGTTATTTTTTCTCACCTCCAGCTTTTCTGGAGAGAGTGTTTTATTAGACATACTTTGGCTCAGAAAGGATCAGGCTTAGAGGGAAGTGCTGTGTGGAGGGAGGGAGAGTGCAGGGGTGTGTGTGTGTGTGTGAAGGAGATGAGGGAAAACTGGTAAATATTTTAGGATCTAGAAAACCCAGAAGGCTTGGACTGAGTGTGGGGGCCAGGCCTGGGCTACCACCCTCTGCTTTCTTTTGGGGAAACTGCCCCTCAAATTGTCTCCTTACCATCTTCGGGAAGAGTCCTCTGTGCAGCTGCCTTGCCTGGTCTAAAGGGTCCTTGAGAGAGAGATGTGGGTGGGGGCTGCCTGCCTGTGGGTGGGCCTCGGGCTAGGTGCTCAGCCGTTAGTTAGCAGGGCTGGGTGGGGACCTGGAGCATTTGCCAGGGCCTGGAAGGTGTGAAGAGGCTGCTCATTGCTATGCAGTGGGAACCAGGCTGGGCTAGGTGTGAACAAGCAGCTGGCAGCTGGCACTACAGGGACCTGTGTCAGTGCAGGCGTTGCCCCCTTGAGACCCTCAAAGCCAGTTCTTTAGAGCAAAACCTCCCCGTTAGAGGGCCTCTAGCTCCCTAACTCCCCTGGACCTCTTCCTCCCGCCTTGACTGGAGGGCCAAAGCCCTGGAAAGGAGCCACCCTCTGTGGCCCACCCTGTCCTCTCCCAGGTAACTGGGCCCCTGGGAAGAACTCCTTCCTTTTCCCAAGGCGCCTGTGGTTTCTTGTCTCACTTCCCCACAGGTCTGTGCTGCAGACACTCAGGTTACATGTGTGCACACACATGCACACATGCATGCACACACGCGTGCACACACACACCCCACCTCTCTGCTTGCTCATGGTGCCCACTGTCCACCCATTCTTCTTGGTCCAGCAAAGGCCTTTGTGCTAGGGTGCTGGGAGGCAGACTCAGCCTTCCAGGCACCCCTCTGGGTGTGGGGCCTGCCTCTGCTGCAGCTGGGTGTTCTCCATGCTTTCCTTGAGGGCTGGGATGCAAACCTAGCTCCAAGCAAGGGTGGGGGTGGGGAGAATCGGGAAACCTGCTGGGGCCTTAGGCAGGTGAGTGTAACACTGCTCTGCTCCAAAAATACTCTGTGATCTTAGCTCTTTCTCTAGAAAACAGTGATGTCACCAGGAGCCAATCAGCTTCTGGAAGGGCTGCCTCCTCCTCCCCCTTCCGCAACTTGCAGGAGAGGGGGAGGGGAGAGTGAGACACACAGAGATGACATACAGACAGACACAGACAGACAGAGAAGCACATGTGTTCAGTGACAGAGCCCCCACACAAAGAGAAGCAGATAGACCCCTTCCCCTTGCACGAGGCAAGAGAAATGCATGGACCCCATCTCCCAACACACATACACACACTCACACTCACACACACACACACACACACAGGCTGCTGGAGACAGAAACAGGCAGGTAGAATCACCCACGGAGAGTGGGAACTAGAGAGAGAGATGCTGGCAGAGACACAGAGAGACGGAGACACATGGAGAAGGAGCAGGAGACAGAGAGACACATGCACAGAAGAAGCAGGAGAGAGAAGGGATAGGAGGACAGACACACACACTCACAGAGAAGGAGCTGGAGGGGGACGGAGACAGACAAGGAGCCAGAAAGAGACAGAGACACAGAGAAGGAGCTACAGAGAGCCAGGGGGTGGGGCTGGGGGACAGGCACAGGTGCGCACCACACACAGACACAGAAAGGTACCAGACACAGGGCCGTGAGGGAACACAGAGACAAGCAGGAGCACACAAGTCAGCGATGCAGAGTCAGCCCCAGGCACTGGGAGCAGCAGGGCCTGGAGCTGCTCTCCACTGTCCTCTCCGTGGGAGGACCCAGCAGCTCCCTGGCTCTGAGCCTCCGGCTGCTGTCCTAGGTGCTGCTGGGGAGAGTGGGGACGCCCATTCTGGGGCTGGGGGGTGGGCACAGAGAAAGGCTGAGTTTGTGTGGGACTGGTGGGTGGTACCCGGGAAGGCAGGGTGTGAGGGGTCTCTTCCACTGTCCCTTTCCCTGGGGGCATATGGACAAGGTGACCTTGGAGGCCTGACATGAAAGGGATGCCTGCTGGAGTGGGGCTGTACCGGACCCAGGAGCTGGTGCTGTGGTGCATAGGACTGCGTGTTCCAGTTTGTGGGTGGGCTGGGGTGTGGGTGGGCCTCCTGCCTGCCTCCTTCCTTGTCCCCTCTCCTGCCAGCCAGGATGGGTGTGTCCCGCCCTGTCATCTAGTTTTGGTGTCCTCTGCCAAACGTGGGGACAGCCCAGACTTCCCTCCTCTGCCTCCAGCATCCTGTTCTCCTATAGGTGATGTCTGGGGCTTCGCAGAGGCTGGTGGATTTGGGGCTGGGGAGTAGGGGGGCTGCAGGCCCCTCCCGATCCCTGCCTTCAACTGGGCTGGTGCAGCACTACTGGGGGAGGAGGGGCTGGGCCAGCTGGGCCTGTGGGGTTTTCCCTCCGGTGTTGCCATGGGCAGCCTCGGCTTAGCTTGTTGGGGAATCCCTGCTCCTGCATGGAGCACCCTCGCCTTGTGCGGCGTACATCAGGCTGGGCTGGGGGTGGGGCGCAGGAGGAGGGCCGGCCCTGCCAGCTCCTACCAGGCTGTAGTAGGAAGTGTCTTCGTTGCGTTGGAATGTTCCATGTTCATAGGCGGCAATAGCTGGGCTGCAGGTCTCCGCAGAGAGGGCTGAGGCCCCTCCACCTCTGTGTCCATGACTCCTTATCATTGTAGGGGGGTTGTCAGAGGGAGGCAGGGGCATGATTATACCTGCTGGGCTGGCAGGACTGAAGAGAATGGCTTCCCTTTCCCTTTAACCCTCTTCCCTCCCCTTCCATAGCCTCGAGGATTGTGAGTGTTTGGGCCTCCAATGCAAGGGCAGGTGTGAGCAGGGGGGTGAAGAAGAGGAGGGGGGTGCATTTGGGAGCCTCTGAGGAGGGCAGGATGGGGGGACATGAGCCAGTGGAAGGCAGCTGTGGGGAGTGGGGGGCAGCCCCATGACATGGACACGTGGCTGCCAGGGCAGGGTCTCTTTGTCACCTGCTTTCAGTGTCCCACTTGGCTGTCCCATTAGGCGCCCACGGCCTGCGAGAGGAACCCGAGTTTGTGACTGCAAGAGCTGGCGAGAGTGTGGTCTTGCGATGCGATGTGATCCACCCGGTGACGGGACAGCCCCCACCCTATGTCGTAGAGTGGTTCAAGTTCGGGGTCCCCATCCCTATCTTCATCAAGTTTGGCTACTACCCACCCCACGTGGACCCTGAGTATGCAGGTAAGCTGGGGGTGTTGGGCTTGGCTCCGTGCTCCCCACTTCTGCCTGGCTCCCAGGGGTCACCAGGAGGTGCGGGCGCCTCTCCCTCACCTGGGCTGCTGCTTGTCTTTTCCTGGCTGCTGTTAGCCATGTTCTTCCAATCTCTGTCTTTTTCCTCCCATCTTTTGTACTTTAGTAGGTTTTAATTAAGTGGTGGGAAGAGAGGTAACAGGGCGTGACATAAAGCCCTCCCATACCCCATGGCCTAGGGCTGGAGAAGCCCCATGGGTGAGAGCAAGGACCGGGGCGGGAGAGCAGCTCCTGACAGGGAGAAGCTGAGTCAGCGCTGCCACCATGTGCCCATGTGGCTGTGACAGCAGGCCAGAGTTTCCACTATCTGGCTGCACCCATTCCTCCCCTCTTGGCTCTGAAGTTGGGGTGTCTCCCCATTCCTGGGCCCCCTGCTGTCTCTGCAGCTGGTGGGCATCTGGTCTCTGCCTCCTCTGCCACACTGAGCTTCCTTATGGCCTGTCTGTGTCTCGCTTGGCCATCAGTCCCACCAGTGGTGCTGCTGCCCGCCCCCCAGCTGGGAGGAGGTGGGTGTGGGGGTATGTGCATGTGAGTGTGTGTGCGTGTGTGTGTGTGTCACTGAGTGTGTACTGGGGTTTAGAAGAAGGAAGGAGACAGGTAGGAGGCAGCCCTTTACTTCCTTTTGTTTTTTGAGACAGAGTCTCAGTATGTTGCCCTTGGTAGAGTGCTGTGTTGTCACAGCTCACAGCAACCTCAAACTCTTGGGCTTAAGTGATTCTCTTGCCTC